TAAGGATGCCCTGCCCCGGCACCACTGCACACACGTGTACACACGCACACACACACATGCGCACGTGCACACATACCTACACTGCTTTCACATCCACGCAAATGACTCATTCATGGACTTGAGAGCTATTTATGTGAGCCAAATAGAGAATTTCCAGGCCTCTTGGTCCTCAGTCTTTAACTTTTTCTTTTTGTTTTTGGATTTTCATCAGAAACCGGTCTGGGAAGTACTTTACTCCAAGATGGGGAGGAGAAGCAGCCAGGACATGCAATATTTGAGTCCCTTGCCCTGCTTCAGGAGCTGTAGTCATCACTCGCCTTGATCTTTCACCCTATGCCTGATTCTGAGCTAAAGTAATCTTGCTCAGGGACCCCGCGTCACCCACCTGAACACACCCCACAGCTAAGAATGAGCTTTACATTTTCAAGTGGTCTAAAAAATAAGAAGAGAAACAGTATGTGTCATCTGAAAATTGGAGGAAATTCTAGTGTCAGTGTAGAGTAGAGCGGCCCTGACCTGGTCCCATCATTCCCTTACATCTCATCTGCAGCTGCTAAGCTGAGTACTTGCCGCAGAGCCATGTGGCCCACAAAGGGTGAAAAGCCTACTGCATTGACTTTACAGGAATGTATGTAGGCCCCAATTATTCCTGATCCACACAACAATGCCAGGAGAACCTCTGGGGACCCACTTTGCAGGCAACAATACTGAGGCTTAGAAGATGCACAGCCTGTTACAGGGTAATGGTGACAAGTGTGTCCCTTCTCCTTCAGGGTGAGGCTCTGTTCCAGCAGAGCCCTCAGAGCCTCACTGGCCTTCCCACCACCTCTTTGATCTGTCTGCCCTCTGCTCTCCTGGCTGGCTCCGAACCCTGGCCTCTTTGCCAGCTGGGTTCAGGGCTTCCATGCTGTGGTTCCTTCTCTGTAGAACACACTTCCTGCAAACACCTGTGAGGCTCACCTTCCTACCTTCTGCCGGCTCAGTGCCACCCCAAGAGGCTGGCCCTGACTGCTGGCTTTGAGATGAAGCATCCTCCTACATCTCTTCCCTGAGGAATGTTCTGACTGGGGTGCTTTGTTCTTTGTCCAGCCTGCTCTGATAGTCAGCTCTCTTCTCGTTTCTCTTGGTCCTGCTGCATTCTCAGTACTGCCACATGTGGGGCATGGCAGACACTGCACATCAGTGGAATGAGTGAGTGAGTGATAGGTGGTCCTGTGGGTGCCTGTGGCGAGTAGAGTGGGCAGGAGGAAAAGGTAGCTGAGCCCCAAGCTGGCCTGCAGCAAGGCAGCCACATGGGCGTCAAGGCCTTGAGTATGGCTGGCCAGGTGCCAGCAAGGTAAGCCTCTAACTGGCATGGAACCAAGACTGGGAACCAAGTGCAGGTGGTGGCCCTACCACCAACTGCGAGTTGCCTGCATTCTCTGGTGCTGGCCTAGCCAAGTCCCAGGGATCCCCCCAACCCCCCACTAAGAGTGAACTCTCTTGGTGCAGCAAGAGGGAAGCGGGGATGTTTCTTGTGGCTTCTGGTTCACATGTGTCCTGGGCAAGCCCTGGATCTGGCCTGTCCAGCACCCGGAGAAGAAATAGAAGCAGAGGTTGCCAGCAATCTCCACCTGCAACTGTGCCTGGCAGAGAAGGCCCACCGGACAGGAGGGCCCTGTTGGCCTTCTGTGTCATTGTACCAGTCGGGGCCAGGGTGGGGAAATTTAGGCATCAGAAAAGGGATGTCTGTGCTCTGAGGAGGGCAGAACCTGAGGATCCTGGCTGAGGCCCTCAAAGATATGCCACATTCTTTGCCAGAGTAAGTTAACGACTCTTCCTGGAAGCCTGGGAAGTACGGTGCTACTTTGGAAGAAGGTGCTGGAGGCTAGGGTGTGGCCCACCATGGTGTCCTCTTCTGACAGGCATGGGGAGATACAGCCAATTGCAGGCCCAGTGAGGAGGCTCAAGTCTGGGGCACCTGCAGGGACTGAGCACCATCCTGGCGCCAGCAGCTGCCTGTACCTCAGGACCATGGGGAGCTCAAAAGGCCTAGGCCCTAGGCAGTGACTCAGAATCATGGCTGTTATTTCCAGAATATCTGTATCCCCAGGCTCTGCCCCATCTTAGTCCTTCAGGCAGGGACTCAGCAATCTTTACAGTCACTTCCCTGAGACAGCCCCCTGGATTCTACAAGCAACTCCTGGAGCACTCTGGAGACTGGGTGCAGATCTGGGCTTGCTCTTGAACTGGGCTCTCTCCTCTCTTTCCAGGTGAGTCCAGTGTTCTTGCTACTGTACATGGTTCTACATCTGTCTCCTCTCTGGCCCCAGGATACTAAGGCCCGGGGTCAACTGTCCTAGACCAAAGAGAGTGCCCACCTGGAATTTGTGTCTAGGTGGACACTGCCATTTCTGGCTGGCTGCTGGGCAGATGAGGCCAGGAGGGGCACTGCTTTCTCCCCACTGTAGGTTGAAAGCTGGACCTTTGTACACTGGCTGCTTCCCAAACACCTGTAGGGCACCCTGGTTCAGGGCAATGGGTATTTAGGATGTTGACAGAAAAGGGCAAACATCCAGCTCTGAGAGTACTCTGTGACCTTGTGTTTCAGGGGTGGGGAGGCTTGCCTTCTTCCCGCCAGGTGTGTTCAGCCTCCTGGAGCAGTCGGCACTTTTGAAGAAGAAAACGCCTGGGAGGGGGAATTTCAGACCTGCAGCTTCCCCCACCTCATGCGGTGCATGCTTGTGACCAAGGCAGCCAGTGGGCTGCTGGGCTAGAGGTGACAGCTCTGAGTGCGTACCCTACAAAGAAACAAGAATCTCAGAAATGGATGGGCTGAGCCTGTGTGTCTGTTTACTGTCGCTCTTGCTCCTGTGTTCATGTGGAAGGACCCACCCCTGGTGGCATGTGCCCTCCTAGAGCTGAAAAGCAGGCAGGGCAAGGTGTTTTCTGCCTGTGGCACTTTGGTGTCTCTCACTGCAAGGCAGGGCCAAAGCCCATGGAGGTCTCACACCTGTGCAGAGCTGCCCCTGCCATTTCCTGGAGCTCAGGCTACTTCACAGCCAGGCAGCTTGGAGCCTGCTCAGAGGAGGTAGTGGCACCTGCTGAAGTCCCACATGGGTTTGGGGAGGCCTTGTTCTGCTGGACGGTGCAGGGCTTCTTTGTGGGGCATCATGGAGAGAGCCTCATGACTCAGAGAGCCCCATGTTAACCAGCATGGGATGTTTCTGGGATGGAAGCCAGAGGATTTGACCACCTGGCTCCCATCTCTGTCCTGTAGAGAGCAGCCCCTTCCTGGGGGTTGCCCTGGAGCTGGGGGCCTGACACATGCAGGTTGTCCTACATTCCCAGCAGACTGAAGGGTGAAAGGAGGGCGTGCCCAAACTGGCCTCTAGTTGCCCTGCCTCACAGGCCCTGGTCAAAGATGGCCACAGGTACAATGGAGCCTGAGCACATAGCACAGAAGGCAGAGCAGTAGGCAGAGCCTAGCTCACCCCTCCCAGCTGCACATGCATTCTGAGGCTAGAGCTGAGGGCTGTGCCATTACTGCATAATCATCTTGCCACAAACATGTCAGTGGAAAGTTACACACTCCTGTCTAGCACTGTCTGTGGGTCAGGTTGGGAGGGTAGCTGCATTGTCATCCATGACTATAGCCTCATTGTAAGACTTGTCTGGAGAAAGAAGCTCTTCTAAGCCCAGGTGGTTGTGGGCAGATCCAGTCCCTGCAGTGGAGGAACTGAGGGTCTCAGCTTCTTGATGGTGACCTGCTGGGGCACCCTTAGCTCCTTGCCACATGGGCCTCCCAATAGGGCCACTGCCTTCATCAAGCCTGCATGGGAGAGAGACTCCCAGAAGGTGTATGTTACAATCTTATGTGACACAATTGTGGATGTGTTAAGATGATATTTGTTGTTTTCAAGAAAATGACAAGTTCTCACACTCAAGGGTGTGAACACTTGGAGGTGGGGTGTTTGGGGCCACTGATCGTACGTGTTGTACCTTGCCTGTCTCTCTCTCATCTGCTCTGTCCCACTCATCTGTAGGACAAATATTGGGCTGGGGGGCCAGTGTTAGGTTCCCTAGGGCCTTGTGCTGGCTACTGTGACCACTCCAGTGATTGTTCCTTTGCAAGCCTGACTCATCTGCTGGGCTATAAACTGCTTGAAGGTGGGAACTCTCCCATTTCTATGGCCCAGAGCCTAACATAGTGCCTGAAATGTGTAAGGCACTCAGAATATTTGTGGAATGGGCAAAGGAACCAGCAAATGAACTGGTGAGGTGTCTCCAGGGCAGCCAGGGGCCCTCGCTCTGAAGTGGGAAAGATTTAAGTTCTGCAACACTGGGTGGTGACAGTGGGTTTTACCTCTCCAGCCTTTGTCCCCCAAGGTGTGGAATGGGAACAATGACAGCATCCGCTTCGAAGGCTGGGGTGAGAATGAGTTAGAATAAACATCTTATCCTGGGTCCATGGTCCAAAAACACAGGTTGATATTTCTGTTGGGGTAGTCACTGAGTGGCCTGTGGTCCTTTAATGCCCCCTTTTCCATGAGTTTTGGATCTAAATCCTTCTGGATTGACAGACCAGGGTCCAGAGAGGCAACAAACTGCTGAAAGCCCAGCTGTGCAGGGGCATAGACCTACTCTAGTCAGGAACAATAAGCTGCTGTGTGAGTAGTTGGTTTGCTACCTTTGATTCATCTGGGTTATAAAAAACTCCTTATTGTGCAAATAGTCAATTTGCTACCTTTGATTTATCTGGGTTATAAAAAGCTTTTTGCTGTGTGAATAGTTTGCTACCTTTGATTTATCTGGGCTATAAAAGTTCCTTTCCCAGATCCTCTCTTCAGAAGAGCCCTGTGCGATGGCAGAGAGTTACAGGCTCTCTTCTCGCCGTGTGGAGGAACTCACTGCTCTCAGCCCTCAGCTTCTCAACAAAGCAAATAAAACAACCAGTCAGCCTCGTGCTTTCTGCCCTTGGCCTCATCCAGGCACCACGGGATAAAAGGTTATCTCTGGCTGGTTGCTTTCCTGATATATCATGCTTGGTCAACAACTTGATTTCAAACTACTCTGTTCCATAGAGCCTCAAATGAGACCTTGAATGTGGCCACTGCAGCCTGGAACACATCTGGCCAGGTTGATAAGGGTGCTGTCCAAACATGCCCACTGTGGATGATGTTCTGGAGCAGGTTGGGGAATTTGGCTGGTTCCAGAAGACAATTTTTCTGAGCCTGTCCCTGGTCTCGATTGCCTTAGCCCCCATCTACTTGGGCATTGTCTTTCTGGGCTTCACCCCGGACCACTGGTGCTGGAACCCAGGGGTGGCTGAGCTGAGCCAGCGATGTGGCTGGAGCCTGGCCGAGGAGCTCAACTATACAGTGCCAGGCCTGGCGGCTGAGAACAAGGCCTTTCTCCACCAGTGCATGCAGTATGAGGTGGACTGGAACCAGAGCACCCTCAGCTGCATAGATCCTCTGTCCAGCCTGCCTTACAATAGGAGCCGCCTGCCACTGGTCCCCTGTCAGCACGGCTGGGTGTATGACATACCTGGCTCCTCCATCGTCACTGAGGTAAGACCAAGATTTCCATTTTGGATGATGTGGGTGTTTGAAGAATAGGGTGGACAAAGAGCAAATCCTATGCTTCAGGGAAGAAGTAAGGTTCCTACTTACAGTGTACTTGGCAGGTGCCAGGCTTAGGTCTCTTCCCTCCTTTCTCCCCTTCCCTTAGTGGTTTCAGGGTTGTCACTGGAGGAGCCCAGCATCCCCTCCCCTCAGCCTGAGCATCAGCAATCTACCTGTTTTCTGGGCAGAGCAGGTGCTGAGACCTCTGGCTTTACATGCTGTGAATGGACATCTGGTCTCCATGGAATCCTTTAACAATGACTAACAACAGACTCACCTTCCAGGGATGCCCAGCTCTGTTGGAATCTAGACCCGGGCCAAGCTTGGGGCTCTCTCTGGAAATGAGACATCCTCTCTTTGAAATAATCTGATGCAACCATTCATCCATCCATTCACACATCCATGTGTTCATTAAGGATGTCCCAGCTCCCCTTCTGCCCTAGCATTCTGGGTGATACTGTGAGTGACAGAGCAAAAAGCTGCAAGGTCCCCTCCAGGAGGCTGCAGTCTTGCAATGAGAGAGGAAGGGTCGTAAGAGGAGTGGTAAGAGTACCAGAACTCACAGCGGCAGCCCAAGGCCATGTGGCAAAGCTGTGAGCAGAGCATGGAGGGGCTGGTGGGCTCTGAGGTGGGGGCAGCTTTCAGATGAGCTGATCATGGGTGTCTTTTTGAGGAGGTGCATTTGAACTGAATCTTGGGTGTATTTTGACCACCAAGGAGAGGGAACAGATGGGAAGGGGGAGTAAATCCCAAGCCCAGGCCCAGGCTTGGGGAGAGTGAACTTTTGCCTCTGTTAGAAGTTGCTAAAATGATTCAAATTCAGGGTCCTGTAGAGGAGTCACATGGGAGACTGTTCATGGTCTCTCACCTTGGGGTCAAAATATGGAATCCTTAGCGTCACCAGATAAAGAACAGGATCCCAGTTAAATTTGAATTTCAGAAAATACAATTTTAACAGGGTAATTATGTCCCAGATATTATATGATATTATATGCTGATAGCTAGGCCTGGCTTTAGGAATACAAATATTACATGGGATATACCTATACTAAAAATTGTTTACCTGAAATTCAAATTTACATGAATATATATATGTAATCCATGTATATATATTCTGGTACTGGGGATCGAACCCAGGACCTTGCACTTGCAAGGCAGGTGCAGTGCTACTGAGCTAAATCCCCGGCTCCAGTACTTTATATTTTTATTTACTAAATGTGGTAACCCTACCTTAGTGCCATATGAAAGTTTGGTCTTATCTAAGCAGAGGAGCAAGGCAATTCTAACCGAACCTGGTGAGTGGTCCAGAAGTAGGATTATGGTGGGAGTGGAGGCTTCATAAGAGGTAAGAAGAGACATGAGGTGGCCAAGAAAAGAGGCCAGGTGAGAAATGTCAGTCAACATGGTTGTCATGGGAACAAAGGCATCATGATGTAAGAGGTCTGAGTATTGCATGGGTTAGGGAGAAAGAGGGCCCAGTTTGGCCGAGGGTTCACAGCCAAACTGGGGGGGCAGTGTGCAGGCAAAGGGAGCTAATGAGCACTGGGTGGGGACCCAGAAAAAGTAGCAGCCTGGAGAGGTGGCGAGGTGGTAACCTATGGCAGAAGAAATGGAAAGGAGGGGGCACATACAAGAAGACAGAAGTGTTTTAGAAGGGATTGGCTATGAACAAATGACCCCAAGAGTTAGAACTTTGTTGAAGATTCTGGGAGTCCTGGAACTGTTCTTGGCAGGCCCAATGAGGGGCAGCTGGTTATAGGAGAAAAAGGTTCCACTGGCTGTGTTGGGTTTGAAAAACAGTAGGATGCATTTGGAAATATTTAGAAGTAAATAGAAGTGTGGGATGAGGTAGGGTGGAAGGGCAGTAGAAGTTGGCTCCTGGACAGATGTTATCTTGCACTTTAATTCTTGCTTCCAACTGCTTTCAAACTGCCTTTGCCCTACTCCTTATCCTAAACTGAAGATTACTATTGGAGAATGAACTATAGTTATTTATTTTTGCAGGACTAATTTTTAACTTAGCATTGCCTTGGACATTGGAACTTGCTTTAGGAAGGAAGATGAACACCATTGTTTCAACACCAAATTCACCCTCCACCCCCACACACACTCCAAGGCTTAGGGACTGGGATTGAGTGGCCCCCTCAAGAAGAAACGTGGTGTTTGATGGATTTTGACTCCCCTCATGTGGAAGTCCTGCTCTAATTGCCATGACATCAGCCACAGCCCCATACCAGGCTAGAGAGCCACTGGTTTCCAAAGATTGCAAGTGTTGAGCAAGAGGGAGAGGTCTCAGGGATAGGTGAGGTAAGGTCACATCCATGTTTTTCCTAACTTGCCTGGTCCCAGGAGTCACTTGGATCCCCATTCATGACTTACTGAGCAGAATCCTCTGAAAACAAGGGTTCTCGGTGATTCTTGGGGTGAGGCAAGTTGGTAAATATTGGTCCCATTGCCTTATATACTGGGAGTTGCCTCAGCCCTGGCGAAATCCTGGCAGAAACAGTAAAGTAGTCCAGGAAACTCCTCTCTCCCTTCCCTTGGGCAGCCCAGCTTCTCTGTGGGGTCAAGCCTGTTTTCTCGGGGTGCACATTTCTGCTAAGGATGTAGTGGCTGGGCTGAACTTGGGATCAGGAAGGCATACCAGGGTTGCAAGCCATGCAGTTAGTCCTCTATGAATGGTGATAGTGGAAAGTGAGGCAGAAATGAGATGCATGTCCTCTAGTTCAGTGCCTGGCTCCAAACACCATTCCCAGACAAGGTGGACACCAGGGCCTCACAGGAAGGGGCAGAACAACGTGTGGTGACCCTGACTTGAAGGACTAGAGTGAAAAACTGAAAGAACAACAGCGAAGGAGGGGACAAGCTGAGGCCCAGGGATAACAGTTCCGTGTACCTCCCCACACCCAGTGACTTTGGTGATATACAGGACATTATCCTGGGTGATATGAGCAGACATTACACAGAGACAATTGGAGACAAACCCTGGGAGAGACAGATAATACCCTGGAATGATCTGTCCCCACATGTCCTAATTACAGAGCACAGCAGAGGCAGGAAAACCACAGGTCTACAGGCTACGCAGGGGCTTGCTGAGTTGTCGCCTGGACAACACTCACCAGGAAGGTGTGTTTCTAGCTGAATTTTATAGGAAATGAACTTCAGGATTGGTGGAGGGGATCAGAGTGACACTGAGCAATAGCTTGTCACCTGCCTGGGGTTTGCAGTGGGGTCTGGGCTTGAGACAGTTGCTCCTATTCATTCCTAAAAGTCAGGGGTGATGCAGTCACCCACCAGTGTTTCAGGAAAACAAGGTGGTCCTTTCAAGCAACTCAGCAGCAAATCAGACACCAGGCTGGCAGAGATCAGAGTCTCTGAGGCTGCAGGGATTTGACTCCAGGTCCCAGGACAAGGGCAAGGCTCAAACTGGCAATGTTAGGGATCTGGAGGTGAGGACATAAACCTGTTTTTAAAATCAAATGGCTCATTATTTAGCAAAATCGTCTTCACATGATTTCTCACCATCAATATTCACAACAGCTCTGGAATGTGACGGGACAGGCACAGGATGCATGCGCCAGACTGGGAATCTAAAGCTTAACGTTGCTAAATGACTTGCTGATGGTGTCCTCCTGGTTAGGTAGAATCCAGAGCAAAGAGAGCAGAGCAGAGAGACAGGAAGGGAAGGAAGCCCAGGATGGGCTGTGCCCAAAGAGGGGAGGGGGTGAGAGGCCCCGGCCTGCCCACCCTCTGCCCCCCAGAGTCTTCTGTCTGCCTTGCTCAGCTCTACAGAAGTGACCTTGCTGGGCACAGGCCTTGCATCGTGCCTGGGCATGTGCTAGTGTCACCCTGTGCTTTGGGCCAGGGAACCCCCCCGGCCTGCTTGTCTTCCTCCAGGCCTCTGCTTTTCCCAACCCCAAACTGAACAGGCCCTACTCCCAGTCCGCGTGCTCATCTTCTTGCCTGTCTCCCCCCTAGGACCCCTCCCCTCTCTCAGCTCTTGGCACCTGGGACCTCTGAGTCTCTTCCTGTCTCTCAGGCCCCCACTCCATGCTGCTGGAGGGCCAGCCGCCTCCAAGATGCCCCCTGTGTCACATCTGCCTCTGCCCCTGCCACTCACAGCTCTACTACTCATGACAGAATATCTCCAATTTTTGGTGAAATCAATTTAATTAAATTATTATTAATTATATTTATTTAATTATATAATTACTCATTTAGCCACTAAATTATTATTTAATTAAATGCATAATAACTAATATGTAACTAATGAAGGATCTTTGACCAACCCCGAAGAAGGTGTTGTAGTTCTTAGTTTTTGGAAAAGTACTTGGCTGTATTTGTTTTTAGTTAACTTGCCTGGCAGCCATGTCTCCTTTGAGAAGATTCGTCTAAGCTCATGCTCCCTTCACCAATGACATTTCTTCCTGTGACAGCCAGCTGCCAAGGACAAAGCACTTGACAACAGCTGCTTTAATTAACACCTAAAGAGGGTGTCACAAAGGTGTTAGAAATATGTTTCTATTTACTGAGAGTCACCAGCAACCTTAAATTGGGTCTTAGGAAAATGTAATAAAAGAGGGTGAAACTGCTGGGAGAGACCAGGTGTTGTGTCAAGCGTTTGCCTTGTCTGTGGGTGGGGGGGAGAAGCATAGGGTCCCTGCTAATACACGGTTCTATGTTCTTGCCCCTCCGTGGCGGGCAGTTTAACTTGGTGTGTGCAGACGCCTGGAAAGTGGACCTCTTTCAGTCATGCGTGAACTTGGGCTTCTTCCTCGGCTCCCTGGGCATTGGCTACATTGCAGACAGGTATGCGAAGGCCAGGCCCGTCAAACGTACCTTCCGTGATGTGAGGACCATGGGCGCTGGGTCAAAGGTGGAGGACATGGTGGGGGGAATCCACTGCAGAAGGTGGTGGGGATGAGACATGGTGGCTGCTGTTGGGACTGCTGTGGGCTACAGGGCAGAGACAGGTGGAGAACATGGATCGTACAATGGGGCGGGGGAGAGAGACTGGGGAGTAAAACCACAATTTGGGGAGCAGGATCATTTTGAGAAGGGACAGATGGGGTGGGAGCAGCTTGTGTCACAGCTGTTCATGGGAAAGGACTTGTGGAGGAAGCAGGGCCTCCATCCCAGATGAGGGCCGTTCGGAGATGTGTCAGAGTAGCCTCGCACCCACATGACAATGGTGGGGGTGCAGAGGGATGTGCACATCCGACCCCCATTCCCTGCTCTTGCCTCCTTCTCTCTGCAGGTTCGGCCGTAAGCTGTGTCTCCTGGGGACAGCCCTGGTCACTGCTGTGTCAGGTGTACTGACAGCAGTGGCTCCAGACTACATATCCATGGTTCTCTTCCGCCTGGTGCAGGGAATGGTCAGCAAGGGCGTCTGGATGTCGGGCTACACCCTGAGTAATTACACATGGGGCTGAGATTTCCCGGATAAATACAGAACAGAAGTCAGGTGGCAGGGTGAGAGGGGACAAGCTGAACATGGAGGTGAGGCTTTTGGAGTTCAGGGAGGTTTGCGGTGTCTACAGAAATGGGAATAATTAGCCAGGTATGGTGCCACACACCTGTAATCCTGCACTCTGGGGGACTAGGGCAGGAGGATCACAAGTTTGAGCCCAGTGTGGGCAACTTAGTGATTTAGTGAGACTGTCTCAAAATAAAAAAAAATACAAAAGGCTGGGAGATGTAGCTCAGTGCAAAAGTCCTAGGTTCAATTTTCAGTACCAAGAAGAAAGAGAGAGAGAGAGAGAGAGAGAGAGAGAGAGAGAGAGAGAGAGAGAGAGAGAGAGAAAAGAAAGAAAAAGAAAGAAAGGAAGAAGGAAAGAAAGAAAGAAAAGATAATAGTTAATTGTATGTGTGTGGTCAGGGCCCACATGAGGCAGGCATGGCTTCCTTTTCTCAATACCACAGTTAGGAGAGTCAGGAGGTAGTGTGGGACATGCAGACACTGGGGAAGTATTTTAACTTTTTTAAGTATGAAAGAACCAGAAACTTCTTCAATAAATTAAAAAAAAAAAGGACAGCCAGTTTGAATGACATTCCAGAGTTAGGAGAGAGAACAAAAGTGGAAAAAGAGAACAGATAGACATCATGATTTTTAAAAAGTTGAGGTGTAAACCAACATGGTAGCCTACTTTTTAGTCTTTTTCATTTTTCACATACTCTCTGAAGGGTAAGAATCAAAACTGCAAAAACTCCCTTCCTGGAGAAAAGTAGTGTAAGAGAGTTATGTATACTTTCCACAATCCATGAATGGGGCACAACAGAGCATGGAGGAGAAGCTACATTTTTGCTTTTTTGAGAAGAGAAAAGAAACAGCTTTACTGGTCATTTCTGAAAACAATGTCCTACTGCTTGGCTCTCTGAGAATAGTTTACAAGGGCCAAGGGAAACTGTGTTCCTGCCTTGAGGAATGAGAAGAGAAACCTGTTCACCTGCAGATCCCAGGTGAGGACAGAGCCCTCCTGTCAGCTGCTCAGGATCAATGTCTTGAAATCAGCATCACCGCCACCTCTTTCCTTTACACACTATCTCCAATCCACCACCGATTACCTTTATTTTCCATGCACACAGAATCCCACTCCTTCCCTAACCTCTGCTGGTCCAAGCCCCTACCATTGCTTCATCCCCAAATGGACCCTCCAGGTGCATCTGATGTACATTCTTGACTCAGCAGCAAAGTGAGCCTTTGGAAGCAGAAATGGCAAGTGTCTCTCCCCTGCCCACAGTGGCTCTGTTTCATATGGGAAAAGACAAAGTTCTCGTAATGTCCTCTAATCCCTGCAGGGTCACGTCCCTGTTGCCCCTCTGAACTCAGCCCCACTCATTTTGCATTCCACAGCCACACGGGCCTCCTTACAGTCCCCCAACCTGGAGCACACTTCTTGTCACCTGTGAGCCAACTCCTTGACTCTTCCATCTTTGCTCCATTCCATCCATTTGCCCCACCAGCCCGGTGCAGAATGGCAACCCCTCTAACCCCCAAGCTCTTGATTTCCTCACCTGATCTGAGCTTTGGTTTCTCACAGAATGGAGTACATTCCAATAGCATATGACTTAGAGGGTGTGATCAATAACTATGGTGGCTGTTTAATTAAAACTTTATTACAATAAAAGACACATTGACATTAATCCTCCCTGAGATACTCCCCCTCCTTTGAATACAATTATCCCATCATTCTTACCACTTTCTGAAGCAGTTCTAGAAGTCCTCTTTTAAGGGTGTCTTTAGTTGTGCTGTCCTGGGTGCCTTGATGTCCTGAATTGATTTAAAAGATTCATCTTTCAAGGTCATTTTGATTTTGGGAAAGAGCTAGAAGTCACATGGTACCAAATTGAGTGTCTAAGGTGGAAGAGGACACATTGTTTTTATTTGACAGAAATTACTGTAAATGGTTGTTCAACACAGAGTGATCCCAAAATATGCTGTTTAAATTAAGAAATTTTATTACAGTAAAAGATATTGCCATTAATTCCCCTCGGAATACTCAAAATAGTCCCCCCTTGCTTTGAACACTCTTACCCCATTGTTCTTGGAAATGTGTCTTTTACTATAGGTTAAAAAAAAAAAAAATTTAAGCATTCACTGTATTTTCTGATCACCTGTCTGTATCCATTACACAGCCTGCCTGCCATCTGTCAGAATGTGAGGGCCCCTATGTCTTCAATGTGTCAGGAACACAAGAGCAGTGGGAGGGCCCCAGCAGGGGCTTGGAGATGCGGTCACTCTGCAAGGGCCCTGGAGCTTCTCAGGCAGGGTTGGGGAGGAGAGGCTGGGCCCTGAATCAGGACGAGGGGAAACATGGATGGCATGATAGGAGACAGAGAGAGGGCAGGTAGAGGAAGCCAGGTAACAGTACAGTTTGAGTCTGGGGGTCTGTGCTGACTGGTATTAAGGGTGTGGGGGAGCCAGGTGCCAGCAGGTATGGTCTGGGGGAGGATGCATAGGAGAAGTGAGCATGGGTGGCCAGTCTGGGCGCTGGTGGGGGCAGAGGATGGATGGACATGCATCCCTCCCTGGACCTCACATCTGCTGGGAGCTGCATGGTGACCATATTTCTTTTTCAGTCACAGAATTTGTTGGCTCAGGCTACAGAAGGATGGTGTCGATCTTGTACCAGGTGGCCTTCACAGTGGGGCTGGTGGGGCTTGCTGGGGTGGCATATGCCATTCCACACTGGCGCTGGCTCCAGCTGGCTGTGTCCCTGCCAACCTTCCTGTTCCTGCTCTACTACTGGTAATACTACCTTCCTGTTCCCTGCCTGCCATTTATGGGACCAGGTTCTATGGCTCTGTACCCCATAACAGCCACCTCAAGGGGCCTCAGCATGCACATACATGTGGTACAGAGCTGCTTCCAAAGCCGTGCCTGCCACTAGGTCATTCTGATGTTGCCCAGAGACCCTCCTGATGGAGGGAGCATCCTCAGACACAAACTGCTCAGATTCACATGTGCCAGTCTGCCTAGATCGAGTTTTGCTAGAAGTTGGACCAAAGCCCATGCATGACAGGGCTGGCTGTCCATCCCAAAGCCTGAAATGTGCACCTTCCAGAAACAGGAGGCCAAGGTGACCACAGAGATGCTGGCCTCAGTGGCAGCCTCATGCCTGGGTGTAGGAGACAGCTTTCCAGGTGTTGCCAATGACTTTGGGAAATCTTGGAGCTAATCCAAGTGTCCAGTACAGACAAGAGGTTCAAGAGGGTTTTTTTTTTTTTTTTTTTTTTTTTTTTACCACACTGGCCGCCAGAGTCTCCTCAGTGGTGAAAGCATAAAGTCAGATCTCACTTTGTTGCCTACTTAATTCTCTCCCACTCTTCTCTCTTTTCTCTTCCTCTCTGCCCCCTCTCCTCCCAGTTCATTTTTAGGGTAATATTGCTATTATTAACAAGAGTCAGATATACCTGTCATTTAGCCACATATTTGGTATTTGGTTGAATGAATTTATGAATGAAAGGGCTTCTCATATTCCTTAGAGACTAGGCGCATGGAGCCATTATGGAACAGAACCACCCAACTGAAGTGTTAATCTTAGTAGCTGTGAGCTCTTTGCAGAGTTTGAAGGGCTAAGCAATTTCGCAGATAAATTTTATTGTGGAGGGAAGAGGGGGCAGCAGAGAGAAATATCTTATCCATGCACCGTTTACCACAGTTATACTGGGGCAAACATTATCTGTGGGTGACACTAGGGTAGACTTGGGCTCTCTGAAGGAAAGCTGGCCTCTGAGTGTGCATGTTCACAGCCTGCAAGTTCAGGAGGAGCCTGCCCTTCCTGGTGAAACAGAGGGGTCTCCTGAAGAAAGGACACTCAGGCTAAGTCTGAGTTTCCAGAAGACGCTTGTGTCAAAGTCCCGGTCTCTAAGTTGCAAAAATCCCTGCCTCATTTGAAATAGACAGCATGGTGTCTGGTTTTAAAGGGAAGAGAATATATTGTATTTTGCTTGGTGGGGGGGTTGTGAGAATGGGGGATGGTACCTCGAGCAGCTACTCTGTGTGGGTGTATTTCCAGGGGACAGGGGCCACCAGCTTCCGGGAAACATGGGCCCCTGCTCCATAGAAAGAAGACAACAAGGGAAGCTGTTGTTTCCTCTTCTCTGTACATCTTAACAGGTGGCCCTGAGTACGAGTGACAGCAGAGAGCTCTTGAGGGCCACCCAGGTGAGGTCACACTGAACTTGGACCTTGTTCACCAGCTGCTTGAGGAATAAGTCCCAGGCTCCATGTGACTAAGCGCTGGTCAGGATTTAATGTCAGATGCCTTCTGGGGAAGATGCCTTCTGGTGATGAGCTGTGTCTACAGGTGTGTGCCGGAGTCGCCCCGATGGCTGTTATCGCAAAGGAGAAACACTCAAGCGGTAAAGATCATGGACTACATTGCCCAGAAGAACGGAAAACTGCCTCCTGCTGATTTAAAGGTGACAGAGCTAGGACAGGGGTCCTCATGTCATGGGTTTGGGGTTGGGTGTGTGTTTCGAAAAGTGTCTCAGGGGCTGCCATGGGAAGCAGTAGAGCTCTGCTCACCTATGGCTGTGAAGCCTGGTGGTGGCTATGGCCCACCAGGGGTCCTCCCCAAGGGATTGTCCCCACAATTGGATGAGGTGTTGACCTGACTCCCTCTCAGATGCTCTCTGTCGAGGAGGATGTGACGGAAAAGCTGAGCCCTTCGTTTGTGGACCTGTTCCGCTCGCCGGCCCTGCGGAAGTACAGCTTGGTCCTGATGTACCTGTGGTGAGGGACCTTCCCTGTGTGCTCACAGACCTTCCTCCCGATGTACCTGGGTGAAGGGCCCATCCTACATGCTCTCACACTTTGGCACCCCACCTGTGGAGAGGGCTCCTTCTCTGCACACTGGCATAAGCTGGGCCCGTGTACTGCCAAACATGGGTGCAAATGAAAATCCACAAATGAGGAATTGTAGCATTGTTGTTGAGTACTCAAAGAGCACTAAAAAAAAATCTTATTTCTTCCTTGAGGATAGAATACTGGGGAAAGGTTCATTTTAGTGGTTATTTGTTACCTGTAAAAGGTCAACAGTAACAGGATTGCAAAGAGCCATGTCTTGACTTACTGTCCCCATGGCTCCTGAGGCTCTCAATGCAGAAATCTCCTTTCTTAATCCGAAAACCCAATGGAACCACTGGGAGTATCTGTTCATCCCTGATCCGTTGACTGGAAACCTCCTATGTGGTATGGATTCACCCACACCCTTGCCCACTCCAGAGTTCTGTGCCCTCCTCCTGCTCTGATAGAAGGAATCCCTCTCCTGATCCTCAGGACAGTGGATCAACTCCTCCATACAGGCTGTGTCCCCAAAATAAAGCTATTCTGAGATGATTCTCCCAACACCCAACGGATTTGGCAGCTGGACCCTGTGCCTCCCCCAAGGATGAGTCAGCTCTGCTTCCCAGTGATAGGCATTTATGCCAACATGTAAGGTTTCATTAGAACAGAGTTGAACTAGGAGGGTGGTGCCCAGCACAGAGCAGACCCTCAGTAAATATTTGCTGACAGTTGAATGAATAACCACTGTTCCACAGAATCCATCCAACTTCTTTAGGCACCAGGTTTGGTGTGCTCTGTCCTGCCTCATTAGTTGCCTACCCCACGACTCTGTTTGCACCCTGCCACAGGATGATCCTTTGAAAACCCTTCATGTAGCTGGTGGCTTTCTAATGACCCTCAGCGTTCGGCCCAGCAACAACTCCACAGAGGGCCTGGGGCCTCTGCCACAGAGAGAAATGATTGGTCACCTTTCTGTAGGGCTTGGTTTCCCTTTCCACCCCAACACACTCCCCCAAGAGGGCATTTTCACTCTTCTGTCCTCTTACTGATCCTTCAGCAAGTCCTGTCAGCTCGATCTTGAAAGTGTCTCAGAATCTGCCTCTCATCATGTGCACTTAGTTTCCCCTGGAGCATCTGGGCAATTTCTCCAGCCTGCATTACTGCAGGAGCCTCTGAGATGGTCTCTGTGTGCAGTGCTGCCTCCAGGCCGAGCTCACAAGGGAGGCAAAGCCTGTCACTCGCTGCCCATCCCTCCGATGAAAATAAGCCCAGTTCCTTTCTGGGGCCTGCAGGACTTTACGTGAGCTGGCCTTGGACACCTCCTTCTGTCCCCCTCCCCTTCTACCTGCTTCTTCTTGTTCCTGGAACCCAAGGGACCTGCCCATTGCTTGCTGATGGTGACCTTCAGAAAGTGCCATGTTCCTTATTAATCAAAATCTCATTATGCAATGTAAACATTAATATGATTATGAAATGTTTGTAGCTTCCAAAATAATAGAGCATCACATCCCCAAAAGAGATACACAGAGCCCTCTACTTATTTTTTGGCATCATTGAGAATTGAACCCAGAACCTATGCCTGGTAAGCAAGCTACACCCTCAGTCCAGGAACCTCTAAAATTTGTTTTTAGAGGGATTAAATCCAGGGGCTTCACACTGAGGTACTTCCCTATCCCGCACTCCCTTATTATTTTGAAACAGGCTTTGCTAAATTGCCCAGGCTGGGCTGGAACTTGCTATCATCCTGCCTTAGCCTCTCAGAATGCTAGGACTACAGGCATGCACCACCAAGCCTAGCATTTTTTACTTGACTGATAGTGATTTAGGTCTGTGTGTCATATTCTGTAACATTGCTATGTTTTCCTTAAAAACGGGGTGGAGGATGGTGCAGTGAAAGAAGAAAGTAAGAGAACAGTTCTGGTTAAAGACAGCATTATAAGGTGGAAGGCACCACTGTGGAGTCCAGGAGACTTGGCCAACATCTGCTGTGCTCTGCAGAAAAAATGATGATCATGAAGACCGTAAAAGCTTATCTTTACTGAGTGCATACTGTGTGCTGGGATGCATAACAGACACTTTTGTCCATTAACTCAGTGAATACTTAAGACAACCAGTGTGGTATGTACTGTTAATATCTCGGTTACAATGAGAGCCCAAAGGCCTAGAGAGAGGTTAGTTAACTTCCTGAATGTCACACAGCTTATAAAGCACCCTGACACCTAATCCTTCTCACTCCCCTACTGCCTTCTCCTGCCTCCCTCCTTAGGGGACTGTTGGCATGGAGAGGAGGTTCTGCCAAGTGCCAGACACCTAAGCATGCAATGCACAATAGCAGCCGTTGTTTTCCATCTGCAGGAGTCTGTGGAACTGTCCTCTAAGGCATACTCTCACCTCTATTGTGAAAGAAATTTCTCATCAAGGTCCCTCCTAGGACCCCCTTCCTGATTCTTAGCTCTCCCTTTTTGTACTGCTCTAGGACATTGTGTGTTTGTCACTTCTGCTTCTGTTCCTGTCCCCCCAGCTGGCTTATGACCCACATTCTCTTCCTGGCTCAGGTTCTCCTGCGCTGTGCTCTACCAGGGCCTCATCTTGCATGTTGGGGCCACTGGCGAGAACCACTACCTGGATTTCTTTTACTCCTCACTGGTCGAATTCCCTGCGGCCTTCATCATGCTTGTGACCATTGACCGAGTGGGCCGAATCTATCCGTTGGCTGTGTCTAGTCTGGTGGCAGGAGCGGCCTGTTTAATCATGATTTTTATTCCACATGGTGAGTTATACATTTTCCAGGGAATTGAATTGTGGGAAAAGTGTTGTAACTCATTTCAGCTTTCATTGATAAGTTTTTAGAATGAAGAACAAAGACATGGTGTCGCCTTTATATATATATA